CCGAAAGAAGACATTTATTGTCGATCAATTGTTGTATTAGCCACATTCCAAATTTGGAAAGATCCCTGACTGTATTAGATGATTAGCACCATATTAATTTCAGAAATTGATAAATTTTCTATTTCATCAGCCTGTTTATCAAAACGTAATTTAATAATAAAACAGACATAACTACTTTTAAAATAATTAAATTCTTCACCATCTTTACAAGGAACATTAAGAAATATAATTCTATATTACGTGTAAAAATATTTATTTAATGGTGTGACAAAAATCTGATTGGTTAATATGGGACATGGGATGGGAATTTTTACTGATCTCAAAGCCCCACCCATATCTCATAGTATGGGTGGCAAGTATAATTTTGATGCGAACTTTAATACCACTGAACAGCGTTATTTAATCGGGACGAAGAGACGGATTCTTCTTTGCCAAACAATCAAGGAATAACTAATAATAATAAAAATAAAAATAATTCTAATAATGGAATATCTTTAAAGAGAAAAGCAAGTGAAATTCAATCATCATATCCAGGAACTTCTTCCACTACTTCATCTTCACCTTCAACACATTACTACTATTACTATCTATGTAGTTTCCGGGTTCTATTGTAACTAATTGAAGCTATAATGCAATAGTAGATCACCTTTATTAAGGCATTTATGATGATATCCAAGTATCTTATTGCATTCAAATAAAGCGGATAATAAGATAATAATAAGGTAGGTATATATTAGTTACCAACTAATATACAAAGGGTAGTATTTATTGCACTAGTAGAATAGAATACTGTATTCCGCTCACCGATGTATCTCTTAAAGATGAAAAAAGGATTTGAAAGTAATTGGTGGATTACCTGAGGATCGAGCAAACGTTGAAATACCGTCAGTGAAAAAGAAAGCAAAGAATTAGTAAACGTTTGAAAATGTATGTTAAAAAAGTAAATGTCATCATGTAATGGTTTCCAAAAAAATATATAACGTATATAGATTCAGAATATTAATTACCAATTGTGCAAATATTATACCAGTAGATATAAATTGAAAGTTATAAATATTTAAATTATAATAATAATATATATATATTTTTATTCTCAAAAACAATCCGATTTTTAATATGAATGACCATTATCATCAATTTCTGCCAATAAATCTTCGATATCTATTTCATTGTCAACGTCATCGTTGTTATTAATGCTTGAATCCATTGCATGATTAATAATTGGTTCAGATAAAAGATTAGAAATTTGCGTTGCATTTAAGAAATCTGCTACATCAGTTCCATCATTCTCCAGTGTCGATAATGAATTAAATAAATCAAAATGCGAAGTTGAAGAATCATTATCATTATTTACAGGAGGTGACGCTAAAATTGACATGGCTATATTTTGCCAAAAAGCCAACCATCAAAAAACGAGTTTTTAAATTGTAAATTAATTAATAAATACACAAATATACAACGATACCTGGATTATTACCATCTAAATTTAATGATGAAGCGTCAGATCCTGCAGATAATGACAAGGCTATATTTTGCCAAAAAGCTAACTATCAAAAAACGAGTTTTTAAATTATAAATTAATTAATAAATACATAAATATACAACGATACCTGGATTATTAATATCTAAAATTAATGATGAAACATCAGGTCCTGCAGATAATGATGATAGGTCAATGTTTGCTTGGTTTGTAATATTACTATTATTATTATTATTACTGTCATTATTTGTAGTGACATTGGAAGTAGTAGCAAAGGTTTGTTGTCCATGATTATTAAAAGAACCTTTTTGGTCTAATGCAGCTATAAGATCACGGCTGTATTCGGTATCAGAATTCCCAATAAGCAATCTAGGTTTTTTATGTGTTAGGATAGCTCTTCTTTTATCAGCTGAAAAAACTGATGCAAGAAACCTAAGAATCTTATTAATTGTTTCTTGCTGTCTACGATGTCTTTCACGTGCAGAAAGTGTCTCTCGCCATAAAATTTGATTGTCACGTTGAATGTTTTTTAGATCTGAACTGATGGTCAACTGATGTTTTTTAATCGATGCAATCTCATTCAATATATGATTCATATCAACAACATCTTCTTTAATATCAGTATCTTTTCCTTTTTTACGATTAACAAAAATCAAAAGATCCGGTTGATTACGAATAAAATTACTATTACTAAATTCCCATTCTTCTGTTTGTGCGTCAGATTGAAGAACTCCTTGTTGAAGATGTGGTATTTTATGAAATCCATACATATTCAACTGTCTTACAAAACTACTAAAATTATTATGTTTAAAAAACCTTGGTAGTACTTCTTTAGCAAAATCTTGAGGTCTTTTCACTATAAAATATACATGTACATTATATATATAAATTAATTTATCATCATTCTAATTAATTAATTTTTTATTTATTGTTAGTCACAATAATTGTCATAATTTTTTTATTAATATTATAAATAATAATGTAAATAAATATCTTCTATATTATTTACAAATAAATGTAAAGATTTTCACCTATAAAAGAATTTCCACTTTCAGACCAAGTAATCAGATCGTTAGAATCAGGATCGCCCACCATGCTATATTTATTAAATAAATATATCTATATTATTACCTATTAAAAAACCTAAAAAGTAATCATCTTAACATACCTGTAAAGTTTATTTAGGAATGCTGGCACATTCTTTGAGGAATTGTTCGAAGTAGGAGAGTATACTGACATTGTGTCTAGTGTATAGTGTATGAATTAATATATTTAACTTTTGAGTATTTCTATTAGATCAAGTTTAAAGAAAAATCTCTTCTCTTTAATTTAATTATTATTATGCTATTATGTATGATAAATAAGAATTATAGATGGATTGAAAAGAAAGCTTGAAAATATATGAGAAACTCTATTACTATCATTCTGACAAAATACTGGTTCGTTTTAAATAAATATTTATTTACTATTATGGGGACAAGGAAATTGCAGGGTCCAAATTTGTTGCGAATCAGTTATTGGATAATTTTTTCTACATGACAAAAAAAAAATAATAATAATTAAATAAATATATTAATATTTATATGGATAACTCTATTTGCGGAAAAATTGAAAATTTCTATATTTCATAAATTTCTCTCACGATTTTTGTAATACAAAAAAAAGTCTGCGTCCAGATTGGATGATTCATATCCCGAAAAATTCATATGCTTGCAAATTTCAAAAATTCACATGAGGAACAACACTATCCAGCATCTTAGTGTGTTTAGAGTTAATGGAGTTTTTATCTTCTTGAAACTCGCTTTTACAACGACTACTTTTCTCAATAGAATGATTACAAAAAAGACATTTATCAATCAAATCCCTGTTTCTATCTGATTCATGAAAAAATCATTTGTGAAGTGTCTTAAGACCAACTAAACCATATATATCTTGTTGTGATCATATTTTTTGCATTTAATTTGGGCAATAAATACTTTGGTTAGTTTTGAATTTGCAATTGATCTCTGATATATGACATTAAAAGGTTAAATATTGTTCTGTTAAGTCATCAGCACACAAAAATGGGTATCGAACCGTTCGAGATTTTAACGGATCAGGAAAATTTCTACTTTCGGTATAAGCGCATTGGAAGGGTTTTATTTTTTGTTTTTCATTTGTTGTATACATGACGTTTGATTGCGTCGCTATTATTATTATCATAATAATAATAAAAAAAAACGTTAAAAAAAAATGGGTTTTCTTGATATTAATATTGTAATATTGATGAAATTATAGCAACCGGATTTTATTTGCATTTAATTATTAATGTTTATTTCTCCCTTTTTTGAATTACGATGCGAAGATTTATAATAAAAATATGGAACCTCTTCTACATAGTAAAAGAGCGTTAGTATTAGTATTTTTTTTCTGATGCCGCTGATAATGCATACAGCGCTCACATGAATTTTCTATGTCATTAATAGATCAGTACTATAGTGCGCCATCTAAAAGACATCAAATGCTGTGTCGCACTGCCAAAGTTTCAAATCCCAAAATAATAATGATACTCTTTTGTGTCACGGGATTGTAATATCACATGACTCAATTATTTTATCATATTCGTTGTGAATTTGAGTATTCAAATAAATTTTTACTCAAATAAACGAATAAAACAAATATATAAAACGAATAAAACGAATAATTCGAACATGCTTTCATTAAACTATTCATCACCAGAATCGTCAATCTCATAAAACGAAATCATTATAATCAATTTCTTCTTCACTTGATGCATTGTTATTCAATTCATCATCTGACTTTGTTTTTTTAACATTTCTAGCATTATTTAAATGTGCAGCTTGTTTACTTTGTTTTGGTTTTTTTTTAGTTTGAAGAATGTAAAATTGTTAGTAAATAGTAATGTATTGTTTATTGATTACTTACGAAAAAATATATATATTAATATATGGGGCAAAACCGGACAAAGTGAACATTGGTATTACCAGAATTTCAGGGATCAAAATTTGTAATGTAATTATTAAAATCTCCATTTGTTTGTTATCTTAATATTCAGTGATATACAGTATTACTCCTATATAAAAATAGTTAATATGAAGCTAATTTACATTAGGTCTACTATGGAACCCAAAAATTACAGCACCATTAGAAGTATTTTGAAGAAAGAACAAGGTGAAAAAATTGCTCCTTA